CGCGAACGTTTCTAAGAGACGTCTCCTTTCGCGTCTTGTCTTCGAGAGTCGAACTTGTCTCGTCCTTGCGCTTCACTTAGGTAAGCGAGCCGATTCGCGTCCACGATTTCGCACGACGGGATCTTTGTGCGTACCAAAGGGACGGCACGTGGCCAGAGACTCGCTTTGTACCGTCACAAGTTGAAAGCTAAAATATCTGTGGAATTTCCTATTGTAACGTAGAGAATTTCGCGCCGAAAGAGTGCTACGCTCTGATATGCGAGAGCATTTTTCCGGAGCAATGTCAAATATATTGTTCGCATTCTCGATTTGAAATTTCTTAAAATATCTACTTCTTTAGAGTCATAAAAGCTTATTTTTTTATTAAAAAGGATAGTCGGAAACCATGGATTCTTACATCATGGATATGTATATAGGTTTGAGTAAATTATAAAGCATGTTCGATTTCCTCTCTTTTTACTTACAATGTTTTTAAATTTGGCGATCTGCGACATTCCTATTATTATTTACGTTTATTCATTCCAATTTTGTAATTTCAATTTGCAACGTTCCATTTATTATTTACATTTATTTATTTAACCTCATAACTTTGGCTTATCTATTTATTTCTTACTTTAATGGTTTTAACTTATTTTTCCGACACTTCTTTTTTTAAATTCAGTTTAGTGGTGTCACTTTGATTAATTTTATTCTATAACTGTCTTGTAACTTTTTAATTTATTCATTTTTACATTGATCAATTTTAATATTAATGACGGTGACGGATAGCTGTAGTTTTATTAGTGTTACGTATCTTTTACACTCTTGGATCTTTGGTGAGTTTTCTTTTTTTATTTACTTCACTTCTTGATCAACGCCAAACATGATACTTTATATTCTCTATAAGTCCGGTTTTACCAAAGTAGGATTAACTTTAATCTGGGTTCAATTTACTTTTTATCTTTTTCTAACTTTCAGAATTAGAAACCAAGGTAGAATCAAGATTAAAGTTAATTTTATGTTAGTGGGACCGAGCCTGAGAGTATCATTAACTAAGAAGTTAAGTAAATAAAGACACGGTTAGCTTTAATTTAAATCATTAACCTGCTTCTCTTGATTAACGTTTGGGAATATTTCATTTGAAGAAAGATTGCTATGGTTTGCTTGAGACTGGGAGATAATCAATTTTATGTTGTATTTGTACGCTGATGATAGCTCGAAGTGGAGAATCCGAAACATTTGTAATTACAGTACCCATTATACTTCAGGTTTTATTAATGATTCGCTTCGATTTAAATTATTTGCGCACCACTAACTATGTTTTGATTTTTACATCCCTATCTTTAATTTTTCGATTGTTATTTTGTCTTTTTATTATTATTCGGTCCACTTATTTTCTATCTAAGTAGAGGGAACACGGTCGCGCTAGAAACTTGTTCACTAGAAGTCGCAAAACAAAGACAAGAAATTAAATTAAGTAAAGAGTTTCTTGAGTAAGTGATAACCTAGATCTATATATCACAGATTATGAAACTAGCGAACTATAAATCAGATGATTCATCAGCTCGAGCCTATCTTGAGTGAGTAAGATTCATGAAAAATAAATAACTCAGCAGTTTTTACCAGCCAATCGTTGTCGGCCATTAGAAGAGAGCTTTGAAGCTTCCGGCGCCGTAGTTTCCGGACCATCGCGGAATATCAGGCGGTCGATCTTACCCTTAATTACAAGTCATTGTCCCGGAAAGCATCGCGGGAGTCCGAGTTCCAAGAAACTTGCTTGATCGTCTTGCAGCTGCGAGCACGCGTCGTTCGGTCGCAAGGCTACCCGATTGTACGAAGAGAGCTGCCTCTTGAGTTCCTCGAGCTTAATGGAACTTCTACTTGGATGCTACAACGCTACCTTCCTATCTTCCAATTGATTCCACTCACGCGCCACTTCGAGGCAGCTCGTACCGATAGTTCTAACTACCCGAGAAGGAAAGAATCGATCTCTGCCTACCGTTTATTCTTACCACCTTACGGTTTTATCGCGCGATTTCAATCAATTGGGAATTCGTGTGATTTTATTATCGAAGTCGATCGGGGATGTCAGTATGCCCGAAGGGTCTATCGATCATGTAATTAAGTTACGAAGCAAGAACTGGAAATGGCAGTAAAGTAACCACATATCATGCTTGATCGTGCAAAACACTTAATTATCGAGGTTTTATGATCATAAAAGAAAATAGATGATAATCGACAGTAATAAAAAATAATAAAGCAAATAAAAGAGAAAGAATTTAACCTTTTGAAGACCGGAGCTTTCTCATAAAGTAACTTATGATAGATCGTATTTTGTAAAGATTTTTAGGGTCGCTGAACTTGATTCTGATCTCAAAATTTTAAAATTCACATTTTAAAACGATAATTTGATTATCGTGAAACTCGAATTTAGGAGATTCTTGGTACGTTTGAATATAACTTGAAAATATCGAATTTCAAAAGGATAGTAATCTCTATGAAGAAGGATTTAGTGTCACAGGGTTCATAATTAGAGAATTTTGGAAATCAGTATTAACTGTTTATATACGTAACACTGAGCTTCCAATAAAGCAATTGGAAATTTATGTGTGCGTGTGATATTATATATTTATTTCCCAATTAAAAATTCTTTAAAACCAAGTTTTATAAACAAATTATTTTTTTAAATTCTATCCGTCACATTGAATCATTTTAAATTTCTTATTTTTAACCTCAGATTCAAATAAAGCATCGTCAAATTATCTCATACGTTAAGTTCCATAAAAATTGTGCGAACAATTTATAAAATAAAAGAAGCTGATCCGCAAATGGGGTCATCGGTTCACAAAGGAATAAAATCTGTAATATAATCTACAAATTTTGTCAGTTATGCTCGAAGAGTCTATCGATCATATGATTAAGTTACGAAGCAAGAACTGGAAATGATAGTAAAGTAACTATACATGCTCGATCGCGTGAAAATATATCCAATCATCGAGGTTTTACGATCATAAAAGAAAATAGATGATAATCGACAGTAATAAAAAATTATAAAATATATAAAAGAGAGAGGTACAGAGAAAGCATCTAGTATCAGTAATATAATCTCTAGTATCAGTAATATAAACAAATTTTTTATTTTTTAACTGAGCTGAGAGATAAGCACTGCGCGTTATATAAAAACTTTTAATTATGTCATCTATTGTATTATTGATTCAGTATAGATCAGATAAATTGTAAATTTATCTTTTTGCATTAAAAACACGTTCATATATGTTCAATTTAATCAATAATGTACTCTTTGCTATTCGATATATCTAATAAAATAAAACTCGATTCTGTATAATAGATCTATTATTTATTTTCTTTCTGTGTCTCTTTACTCGAAAATTTCGGTTGTCTGCAATTATCCATAGAGAGCAATCAGCGGTGCGTTTTAATCACGAAAAAGGATAAAAGATTTCGCATTGTGAGAATTATAGCTGAGCCGTTTTGGAAACTTCCAGGTTATTCCACTCACGTGCCACTTCGCAGAACTTATAAAGACATTTATATCCACTCAAGAGGAAAAAAAGAAGAATTTGTTAAACCCTTTCTTTGTCTTTGCCGAAACTCAAGTTATACTCATTTAGTAATCTCGAAGCAGAGAATTTTTCGTCACTTTTCCAATTAGAGATGGATTCCCTATTGGGAGAGAGAAAAATGATGATGACATTCTCTTTTTAAGAGACACTTAGGGGGAACTACATTTACAGGAGGAATTAGATTTAACGGGTTAATATCGCTTAAGCCTTTTGCGCTTTCTGTTATCAAAGCACGAAACGGTTGCGAGTGCATGTCGCGTGCGTTACACGATAGAGAGTTTCCGCTGCACGGACCACCGGGCGTTACCGTTGCGCCTAATGGAACTCGAGCTTGGCGTTAGTGCGACCTCATCGTATCCCTCCCAATCGATTTTACTCACGCGCCACACCGGAACAGATTGCACGCTTCCCTGTATCTAGGCGCAATGAAAAACGGTCGCTGTTTTCGGTTCATCATCGCACCTGCGCTTTTATCGCAGGTCACGCGCATTCATCCGCAACAACGTCCATAACTCTCAAATCCAAAGACGAGCATGCTTTTATTTTCTTCATTTTGTTAGATTGCGGAAAGAATGGTCCATATTTAGAGAATGCTACGGAAAATGGAACGAAACAAAACGGCGCGAAATTTTCACGGTTATAAAATGATTGATTCTTCGCCGAATATTTGTGATATAAATTTTAGAAACTTTCTAAGTATCTCTCGCTTCCATGTGAAATAAATATTTTTACGTGGCGGTACTCAAGAAAATAAGAATATGTAATTTACAAAACATCTCGTGTATCATGTAAATGTATGCACGTATCAGAAGAGCTTTTCCTATTCTATTCTGCTAATCGTTATATTCTGAGAAAGAAGTAGTTATACCAACAACTAGGAAATTGAGGAAAAATAGCATCTCAACTATGCATTGTAAAATTGCTGTAAGAGAAATGAATAAGTATACATACGAACTTAAGGAAACAGAGCAATGTTAACCGTTTGCAATATACATGTTAGACTGCAGTACAGAAAAATAATAATATATAAGATTCTTTTGTTAAAAAAAATTATATAATTAATAAAAAATGTATTATAGCATGTCTCACCGCGACATACTATAAAAACTTTATAAAAAAAAATATTTAAATAAAAAGATATTATACAACCCATTTTATGAAATTTATATAATAACTCAACTATAAATTAATTTAATTATTTCAAACACACACACACACACACACACACACACACACACAGTTATTTAATAATTGCATGCCAATAATATAATGTTATTATATAACATTACATTTGTGGTATATTTTCCAAAATTTGTTCTTATGATTCTATAAACTAGTTGAAAATATCAAAACGAATTTCCAAACATATAATAAAATAAAAAGAATATAAAATATAAAATAAAAATGCAAAATGTAAAAAAAAATAATGTGACTTACAGATATGATGAGCAGCAGCGGAGTTGTAATTGCATTGTAACTTCGTTGGTCTGTAACATACAAATATAAAATTCAAATTTTAACAATGTCCAAAGAAATAAATACACAAATATCTCAAAAAATAATTATATGTATTTTGCGTATTAAATATCATTCTTGTAATAGATATTTAACAATTACATAACTATGAAGTAAATATTTAATAATTTTAAAAATAATGTTTAAATATATTGTTATAAAATAATCACACATATTGTATTTATTGGATTTAATTTGTC